AACAGAACCAGTTGCTCACGATAAACGGTACAATACTTTTGTCTACGTCTACGGTTTCCTTCGTCCACTTGTCGTTTACGGAAAAAAATATCGCCGGAGAACAATCACGTGAGTGCCAAGTACAAATATGGATAGTTCCATAAAGACAACCATTCTGACATTCGGCGTGCCTCTCGTGTGAAAGCGCCGTACCTCTCGACTTCAGCGTATTATTGCTGCGACACACAGAAAGACGAGACTCACGTTCACACGGAGGGTCACAGCTAGCCTGAGGGAGCAGTCATTGACATTGAGAGAAAAAGAGGGAGTGAGAGAAGCTCTCGCTCTCTCTAGAACGAGTCTAATATCGCGCTACCTGTATAAGGAAAGCTTTTTTGCATTTTCTATTCAACCGTGGCCATCTGCGGCACCGACCGTCGATGCGTCGAAAGCAAATCGGGCTTCCTATTGTTGAGATTTTCCGATTGACTTCGATTCCGATTGATGGCTTTGATGCCAAGAGAATCGTCTAATCACCTTCGCGCGACCACGGCATCGTATCACGTCGAGTTTTTTATACTTTGACTGCCGCAGCTTTCTGCAAATTTCCAGTCTTGTAAATTATTCTATGAGAACCACGATAAGGGAAGCTGGACCTAGCAAACGTTAACTTTCATTGTCGAAGCATTATTATATTGTGTATCGAAGTGTTGAATACTAGAGAAAAGGGAAAACATGTACTAAGTTTTTGTTATGTAATTTTTGTGATGCAATTCTGGGAATTAGATGCACAGTTTGATGCGTAGATATTTTTTCTCGAAGAGTTGAACACGTTCACTGTCACGTCGGTTACATCTAGGTGACAAGATTCTTCAACGACAGTATTGGTATACTCACGTAACTACATAATGATACGTTTTTAATTATTGAACCGTAGAAATAAAATGGCAGAAAAGTGTTTGTTTCACTTTATCATTGTTGAACGGATAGAAAATGTGACCTGCTGCGTATCATGTGGAAAGAAAAATTCGGTAACCTAAATGTTCGATATAGTATGTTATTTAATATTCACTACTTAATATCAAGTATTTTCTTTTTCATTTATATACAGCTTTTACATTCAGTTTTAAGATTTCAAGCAGGTCTCTGGCAAAGATCAGTCTAGAAGTGAAATTGGTGCTGCAATGTCCACTATTTTGCACATAAATTAGGACAAATCAGAATCATGAGACGAAATATCTGAAACCTCCCCTAACGCATCGAATGTGTACTGATACATTCTCCATCAAATCTCGTTTCGTCCGAGCGATTTGCGTCGACTTTCTACCCCGCTCGAGGCGATAAACCTCGACGAGCTCAAACCAGCAGAACGATTGTCGAATACTGAACTGTCTGGTGGCCAGAACCGCTCGCGAGAAACCTGTTTTCGTATTGTCCGGAACTCTTATGCCCAGTTAAAACGCGGTAAATGACTAGTTTGATATATATCCTGTGCTAAAAATAATTATATTAGCACGATGAAATCAGCTGCTTCCCGAAGAAATCAGCAAGAATTGATCGAGTACAGCCGAGTCAGGCATAAAATTTAAACAAACGACGGGAATCGTTAAACAGTTTACAAAGAAAATACATGTTGTACTCAATTAACCCTTTAACACGATCAGGAGATTAATTACAAAAAAATGTGATCACTTGTTTGCGATTGATTCCCTTTTGTTTTTGATATTCACTCGCATGTAAAGAATCTCCAAAAATTTAACAACAATTGTCAGTCTCCAATACGAAATCTGTAACTTTTCTAAATTGTTAGAGTTTTATTATGAACAACCAGAATTTTTAAGCAAAGTGTTGAAAAAAATTTATTAACATGCGTTTTTGTGATTACACAGTATCAAATTGGCTTTCAGAACTTTTTGCACGTGATTACATGGTGAAGGTGGAGTGCAGGAGAAGAATAGAAAAATGGAGCAAAAGTAGGATAATAGAACTTTTGACTATAGCTACCCTTCTCGTTGAAATAGTGGGTTAGAACTCAGTGCGATATGTTTTTCTTCAGTAAACTATCGAATGGACCATCGTTGGTTTAATCTGTTTGAAAGTTGTTTCTGATCCCCACATCCGGTTATACCCCTTTGTCATTTTTGTCATTTTTCGCTCTTCGTCGACCGGTCGACACTGTTCCCTGTCGAAACGAAAATTTTTCTACGAAACACCTTCAACCTCGTCAGCCTTTCAACACGTTTCAGGATTGCACGGTCGCATTCTTTTCGCGATAAGGCGTTCTGGCACCAGTGAGCGAATAATTCGATGTATAGATTCTATAATAAATGAACTATTTGTTTATGAAAATGACTAAATCAAGATCGTCGCAAATTACAATACATTCGGGGATGGATGCGTGAAATTTAACATCAGCGGTACTCTAGCAAAACGGTATATGCTTAGAATATATTTAAAAATGCCAAAATTATGTTAAAAGCGTTTGGAAATATTTCCAGAAGGTACAGTGACGTAGTTATTTTAATAACATGAGGAAAGATGTTTCTTTTTGAACTGTCTTTTAATAATACTTTGTTATGTTCAAGTTTCTTAATAATTGTTCACTAAAACAAGCGAATCCAGTATGTATGCATGTATGTATGTATGTATTACATACAACGTATGCACATACGTACATTGGTACGTTGGTCTTCAAAGTTAAGGATACAGTAGTTGTGTGTGTACACAACGCAAAACCAAAAGCGTGTAAATACATTCGAAGTGGAAATGAAATACACGTGAAAGAAGTGGGTGACAGCTTGTAAAGCGGTTCACAAACGTATGGGCACGATTATAGTAATTATCGAAGATTCATGAATATAACATAAAGCCAGTACTGAATGAAAGACCAGAATGGAGTGGAAGTCGAAAAAAAAAAATCTTTGCGAGTATTTATACGACTATATTTGGAAAGTAAAACAGTGGACAGAGATAGAGGAACGATTATACGAAAAATACATTCTATGTTCGATTTAGTTTATCAGTTCTGCCCATGGACTATAGTGTAAGAGTAATATATATTGAGTAATCTATATATATATATATAGATTACTCAATATACATTACTCTGTATATTGAGTACTACTCTCTCTACTACTAAGTACTACTCTACTCTCATAATATATATTTTATATATTAATATATTATAATATAATATTATAATATATATATAATGTATAAAGAGCAATCTATA